TGCCCCCCCGCCCCTGGCCCTCATGTCCACTGCCTGCTTGAGGCCCACCTGGATCTGGGAGCCAAGGGTGACTCAGCCGGGGTCCCCCTGGTCAGGAGCACCCGGCCCCTCTCCGAGCCCGCAGATCCTCTGGGCCTGCCGGGCGGGGCCGTCACCTCCTGGCTTCCAAAGTTGTACTCCAGGGAGAGCTGCAGGCGCCCCCACTGCTGGGCTCCCCCGGGCTGGACTCCACATCGTCCATCTCGGTTGCACCTGGCATGGACCAAGCCCCCATCAGAACCGTAACTGCCCACCCTGGGACCAGAGGGCTCACCCTCAGCTCAAATGACCGGCCAGAACTGTGGCCCTGCCCCAGCCCATTGCTGGCACCACTGCCTCCCCAGAACATGCTGTGGCCCCACTGGTGCAGGGCCCACTCTGGGGGTGGCACTCCTGGTTCTTGGGCCCTGGGCCCTGGCCTCCCCCTCCCCTCTGCTCCCCGCCTCCCCTGCCAGGAAGGCCCTCTGGCCTCCTCTCCTGGGCAGACCCGCTGCTGGGGGCTGAGCTCGTCCTGACCGCCTAGACCTTCAGCTGTGGTCTGGGGCTGACCCAGCCGGGTGCTGGGCATGGGAGCGCTGGTGCCCGCTCCTCACCCGGTGGGTGGTGGTGGCGCCCCGGACACTGCCCAGGCCCAGGGCCTCTTTGTCTCGGGGCTTCCTCCTGTGGGCTCGGCGACAGTGGCAGCAGACGACGCAGAGGAGGAAAGAAGAAGTGAGGATGGCGGTGGCAACAACGATGGCCACCAGTACCCATCGGGGCCTGGGGTGGGCACAGAGATGGGCCTGAAATACCCCTGTGGACAGCACTGCCCCCCACCCAGCCCGGCCAGCCCCAGGCCCCTCCCGGGTCCCACAACTCACAGGGAATCCTGGCAACGAGGTCCGGAATGAGCCCGGATTCAGCCGTGGTGCCCACAGGGGCCGGGGTGCTGTGGGAGCCTGGGGGCTGCCCCATCTCCACACCCTGCTGGCTTGGAGGAGATGGCCAGGGCGGCCGGGTCACCTGTGGGGATGCCCCTCGGGCCCCTGCCCACCGCCCCATCTGCCAGCAGCCAGCCTGGTGTGCCTGGGCAAGGAGGCAGCCCGGGTGACCGGGTGGGGGGGACGGTTGAGTGGAGCCAACGGGAGGGAGGCTCTGGGCTTTGGCCAAAGCACTGGCTTAGCTGCCACAGGCCTGGCCTCCTGGCCACCTCCCCCGCCCCCAGCCCTGGCCGAGCGGGCTGGGCCTCCCTGCAGCCCCTCTCATTACAGACCCTCCTCCTGCAGACACCCCTCGATCCCAAGGGGTTGTTGCCTGGTGACCCCCTTATCCCCCCATTTCCCCAGTCTGCATGTTACACAGGAGGAGCTTATTCACACACGTGAACCGGCCCTGGGTCACCCGAGAGCATGGTGAAGGGGGCTCAATGGGGTCATGGGGGGAGCAGGTGGGGGAGCAGTGAGGCTGCTGCCGGTGGGAGCTGGTCTGAGCAAGCTTGGGCTGAAGGTGTGTTCCAGGCACGGCGGGCGCCGGGCCAAGGCACCTGGGAGGGTGTGGTGGGGCCGGCAGGCTCAGGGTGTGCCTGGGAGCGGCCCGAACATTCCTCGCAAACTGACTCAGCAGCTCGCCCGCCCAGACCTGCCTATCTGTCTCCCTTAGGCGAGGGGGTAGGAAGGAGGGCGGGCCCGTGCAGCCACCTGCCTAGGGCCTGGGGAGGGAGCGCACCTGGCCGGGTTGGCTCCTCCCACCCAGCATTCCAGCTGGGGGCCCTTTACCCCCGTGGTGTGTGCCGTGACCCTAGGCCCATGGGCAGGTCCTCCTGGCCCCTCTCCTCTGGGGAGCCCTGGCAGCAAAGAGGCACCCTTCCTCCAACCTGGGGCTCCCCGTTCTTGCCCATAAGAGGCTGGCACCCCTCTTGCCACCCCCTCCAGAAATAACCAGGCATGTGGGCCAGATCCCCTCCTGCTGCAGCCCCACCAGCCTGGCGCCGAGCTTGCTGAGGGACCGACAGGGGCCCATGTGCTCCTGCGATGACCCCCACATACGCTCATCAATGCCTCGGTCCCCGATGGGCTGGGCAGAGGCAGCCCCACTCCCAGAGCCAACCCAACCCCAGGATGCTGAGAGGGGAGGTGCCCAGGCCCAGTGTCCTGCCTCCCGGGCCTGGCTCCATCACCCTCAGGGCTGGTCCCGGTGGTCATAGCACAAAGAAGGGACATGGAGGGGGCTCAGTGTGATGTCTGCCTTGAAATTCTAACCATCTTTTGAACAAGAGGCTACATGTTTTCCACACACACACACACACACACACACTCTCCGCAAGGCAGAGTGCCCGGTGGCCCCTGTAGGCCTGGGGCTGGCCCCAGAGCCAGAGGGTCCCTCGGGGTCCCTGGAGCCGCACGGTGGAGGCCACAGACAAAGGCACCAGCTCCCCTGTGGAGTTCCAGTCTTTCCCTTATAAACTGTCAGATCCCGTGTGTATTCTGGAGTCAAAATAGCTGCCTTCCAGGTTTTTACGGCCGAGAATTCGGCATCAGTGGTCAGCACACGGTGTGTGCACACATGCATGCGTGTGCATGTGGGGGGTGTGCATGCACATGTGTGTGTGCATGTGCATGCCTCTCCCCTGCCCGGTCTTGAGGGCGTCCTCACCGAGGTTAGGGCAGGGGTGGGGCGAGCACAGCACAGGATCTGGTGCTGCTGGCCCCGGGTTCCTGA